GCTCCCCACCCCGCTCCGCCGTTTCTACGGCTTCATGAATGGCGAGAATACGCGCGCTGACGTCACAAGGTCTCCGATCACGAGAACTCTGGAATTCTTGAGGTGCGTTCGATCTCGGGATGCCGGGAATACTTGCGGTGGGTGGTGGGTGTTTAGTTCATAAGGTATTCGAACTAGTAGATAAATTGCAATTCTTGCGGTCTATGCGTGTCCATGCTTACGTGGGTGTGTATGCGTGCGTGCATTCGTCATAGAGTTCTTCGATCATGAAATCTCCGAGCTCGTAAATTCTTCGATAGCGAGACGATCTTGGAAAATCTGCCGGTTCCTGGATGTGCATACACGTGTTCGTCTTGTGCACTTCCCATGATGCACTGTGATCAGTTTTCCTCAAATGTGCACTGTGCATTCGATCTGGGGCCGTCGGGAATGTTTAATTTGTGTCGGTACGTGATAGGCGGTTCGATTTCCAACTGATCGGAAAACTTGAAATTGTATCAGTAAGTGTGATGTGTCCGGAATACTGACAGTGTGCGCGAGTTCATCAGCTCCGCGATTTCTTGGTAGTGAGATCACTGACGTTGCTTCCAGAACGTCGTTGCCGTATTCCTTTTTTGTCCGTTCTACTGCTTTTTTGGATTATGCGACAATACAAAATAAAACGATCCGAAACTGAAAAAATTACAAATGCCTCCGCCACTGCGTGTGACTTGATGGGCTCTTCCATCTCCAGCAACCACGCGCGCTTCCGGTGCCCAGAAGTTCATTTTATGAATGCTCTTCCATTCTCGCCAAGTTACGAAAGTAGTCCCCCCCATGGAGAAATTGTTTGCGACGTGAACATCCTAATAATTAAGATTGAGTATACTATATGTCAACTGCCGCGAAGATAGTTGTTTCCAGATCAGGTGAATAAAGTGGGTGATTTCCCGCCAGTAAAGAGATCATGGTTCATTCGTATTGTGCGAAGGAATATTGCTCACAGAGGTCAATATTTTGTATGCACATTTCTGATAAATCTTGATACATTGGGATCTCTATAAAGACAGCTGTTTTGTTAATCAAATATATAGGGATGTTCAGACCATGTTTGTTCTAAATGTCATGTGGTGGATGGCGTTGCCTCTAGAAACAAGACGAGCCAATATCTTTCAGTATTTAAAACTGAGATTATTAATGTCTTCTTCATAATAGACGAAAGATGATAATTCCTATCTACTTTTCACTTATAATTTTAATTTAAAATATATTTTATTTGAATAT